GGATGATAAGAGAAGGGGATTTTGATTTCCGATTGCGAAATGTATCCTCTTAAAGAAACTGAAGGAGCACCTTGGGAAAGAAAGATATGGACATGGCAAATATTTTACAGAACATCAAGACCAGTAACGGTGGACACTAGCAAAGTAAATGCCTGCGCCCTCGGACTCATGAGGAACCTTGTCTTCTAAGTTTCCGGTATTGGTGCAAGCAAATCCTGATAATAAAAGAAATTGCGTGTAAGCACAACCAGTCAGGCAACAAGGAGTTAAACAGCGAGGAGACAAGTTACATGATTTACCTCGGAAAAGCGCAAATGCCCGTGCTGTATATTAGCGGTCCTGACAATTGTTTCCCACTTCGGGTCATCGGAGAGTGTTTTGGAAGCTTGGACTCTGGAATGCAAATGCATACCAAGAGGGGACCTTGAAGACGAATTCCTTGAGGAAAGAATAGGTAGAGTACGCTTTAGCCAAGACTCTGACGGAGATTTTGGCAAAGGTGGGGGAAGTAGTTGTGTATAGCAGCCAATAGAACTCTCTTTATTGCTTAACTTTCTACACTGTTGGCTTTCTAAATCAATCCTGCCATCACCAGCCACTTCTCCATTTGAATCCTGAATAAAGACATGAGAACTTTCGAGGTTACCTAATTTTTTATCCGATCGGATTTCTAAGTCAATCTTCCCATCTTTGTCCACTTTCGGGCTAGTCAGTGTGTTAGAAACCTGCATGTTGTCTTCATCCTGTCGGGAACCACCCATCACAGCCATGTGCACATCATGAATGGATTTGTCAGATAACGATAGAAAACAGGAATCAACAGACTCCAAACTATCAGGTCGCAATTTTTTCTTCTCACCCACAGTACTCAAGCACTTGGAACCCAGAAGTGAAGAATCCACATCATCATTTTCTTCAATTTCTCTATTCTTTACAAGTATCTCCACGTCATCCATTGAGCATTCAGATAAGCCTCTAGCATCAGACGAACTTGAATTAGAATTTTGAGGTTTTACCATATGCATAGAATCTATGTACAGAGTTTTCTCAGCCACGGAAACTGCAGAAACTGATTCCCATTCTCTGCTCTCATTGGCTAATAATTCTCGAAAAATTGTGCTGCCTTTTGCACATCGAATAAAGTCACTTGCCACAGAATCCTTACATTTATCAGGAATCTCAGTGCATCTTTGTTCTTCATGGACTGGTTGTGGAAATTGACTGTCAGTGGGTGATGCCACTTTACTATGCCAACCCTTGCACGCAGATGATTCATCCAGCTTTTTATTCTCAGTTTTGCAAGCAATTTTGATGGATTCTCTCTTCTCATACTTGTCATTCCTCTGATGCTATAGAAACACAGAGTGCTAAAAATAACTTATCCCTTTAACATGATGGTAGCAAGACAGAAACATAGAAGTAATGAAGAAGATAAATAACAAATGAAGAGAGGACTTGAATACCTCATGTGCAGTGACATTACGAGAAGCAGCATTTGAAGACCCAGACTTCGTTGTACAGACTGCAGAAATGGGTACCTGGACCTGCTTTCTCATCCCTAGTACAGGATTCATAAAGCATAGTGAATTCTGTGAGCATAGCTGAGGCAACAACCCACAAAGTTTAAGTGATGGATCATCGGGTCTGTCATCATCATGATCCTCATCTTCACTATCTTCCACTGCATCTGCTTGAGCATAATTTGGTATATTGTATGGACTATATCGATTTAGAGGATGCCTTTCCGCACTTGTTGCCTTGGCTATTTGTCTCGGTAGCTCTCGCACGACGGGTTGCTTCCTAGTAAAACATTGAGGAGTCTCTGAAGCCATTGCCTTAGCTGCAGGCAAGAAACGAGCCATCATGAAATCTTGACCATGCTGATCTGTAAAGAAAGCCCCAGAAGGTTTCAAATCCGGACCATCCAAGCCACTCACGCCACTTATACTGCAGTTCAAGAAGAAAGATTCACTTCGTGACAGGATATCAAGTGCATCTGCATAAGCTTCTTCTCCAGTTTCTGAACCAGAACTCGACGCATCCTTTATTGCCTTCTTGGAAATTTCTTCTATAGTTTCATTTTGAAAACTGGAATGGCCGTTTCTTGTTTGGGAACGATCTGCTAGTTTAGCGCCTTCAGAACCTTTAACTGAAGCTTGCTGTTGATCTTTCAAAATCCTGCCAGGCGGAAGCTTTGGGGCAACAGGGGGCCGTTGAAGAGCCCGGTTTTGTGGTTTGCTTTCATCCTTTGGTCTTCCTGGACTTCGCTCCCATACAAAAGGAACCGTTCCAGGGTTACTCAGTGGACCTGATTTCAATTCTGATTTGTAAACAGGTGGAGGTATTCTGGATAGAGCATCATCAGTTTTCCTTTTGATCTTGGCTTCTTTGGTGGATGCTGTTGAGGAGTACCTCCTCACTGATAGAAGCGGCTGATTAAAATCCAATTGCTTTTTTTCCATCAGACTTTTCACTAACATGTATTATATTCTTGCTGCAAAGAACCACCTTCAGATCAAAACAACACCCCGTCAAGATGAATGAAAACTTTAAACCTTAATTAATGGAATTTCTGGAGACTAAAATTGATTTTGAGATCAAACCCAGCTTCCCTTTCCAGGCATTTACAAAAACTTGATTATCACTCAACCAAATGCAAAGGCACAAAAATACCTTAACATGACACCTATAGAACCATCTGCACTTGCTTCCACAATTGTTTAACACAAGTAAAAAAAGCTAGGTTCTTTACTGAAACAGAATTTATCCAGAAATAAAAAAAAAGTGCGGTGCCCGCATCAGTCTCGTTTTTTGTGTGTGTGTGCAGGTGGGTTTTACTAATTTGATTTCTTTTGATCAGATTTTTGGTTTCTGTTTGGTTATGTATTGAACTCAAGAAGAAATAAATCAAGAAAAAAGAATCCTTTATATACAGTTATTGCTTCTCTAGCAACAATGAGACAGGCTTCAGTAAGTTGTAGAAAAGAAAGGAAAGAAACCAAATTCCTCGGACATGTAAAAAATACAACGGACAGACATACCTGTTGGTGTGAGATGTTGCCAGTCCAGAACAGAACCCTGTTCGTTTCTTGGAAAGAATAAGAAAGAATCGATGCCAGATCAAGAACTGCAAGTTCAAAAAAGAGGCAGAGAATAAAGAAGAGAAGGAGTGAGAGAAGGAGAGTCGTGAGGAGCTGGAGGAAGGATTAACTACTCTGTACGCTTGTGCTTTAACTCCCTGCAAGCCTAGCTGCAACTAGTTTGTAAGCTCTGAACTCTTACGCCCTCTAAAATAATCCAAAAGTCTAAAAAGTTCTCTTTCCGAGACAACGAAAAGAATCATACTATTCTTTAACCCTTCACCGCTGGCTTTTTGGGTTCCCATTCTCGTGAGCATATAGCATTCCGATAGATATTTTGTGCAGGTTGGGTTAGTTATAAAAAAAAAAAAAAAAGTGAACTGATTAAATTAAAAAAATAGAATTATAAAAAAATAGAATTAATTAGAATCCATTCTCGTGAGCATATAGCATTCCGATAGATATTTTGTGCAGGTGGGGTTAGTTATAAAAAAAAAAAAAAAAGTAAACTGATTAAATTAAAAAAATCAAATTATAAAAAATCAAACCAAACCAAACTAAACTGATTTAGTTAAAAAATTAAATAAATAAAAAAACTCATTAAAACCGACTAATTGAGTTTTGATTTTTAATATTTAAGTTTTGACTAACCAAAAAATTAACCGATTTAGTTTTATATTTAAGTTTTTTAATATTTTTTAAATTTTAATTTAATTATTTTTATAAATAAAAATTAAATCAAATTAAATTAAAAATAATCACTATACGATGATAGCATACCATAACAATTATAATTTAAAATATTTTTAATTTAAAAAAAACAATTATAAATTTTTCAAAAGTACTTCACAGTATTTTTCGTGGCTTGTAGAGTTTTTCTTGGAAAAGAAAAAGGACTTGATAGTAATTGTAGCGTGGATAGTTTCGAGAACAGGGCTAACAAAGGAGAGAGAAAGACACAGCCAAGATATTTTTTATTTATTTTTTTTATTTTTATAATGGTGGCAGTACCTCGTTGCCTCTTGTTTAATTGCATGGTGTCTTTATGCATTTTGTTTACGGACACTTGTTGCTTGGGATCATGTGAACCGTGTAATAAAGAAAACAGGGGAAGGGGGCTCCACGGTGATTTTCAAAATATTATGATGATTCACATGATTGAGCATAAAGTACACCGACTTGTCTTTACATAATTTTCCAATTCTAAGGTGCCGTCATCTTTCAATGAACAATTCCTTTAAAAAAATAATAATAATAAGTAAGAGCCATCAGTCAACCAAGTCACAATTTATTGGAGACCAGAAGACTGAAATCGTTACAAGATCTTTTTCTTATGGCCCATTGATAATTTTCATGTATATTTGGATAAATTGTTTTTTTTTTAAGGGTGAGATAACTTAATTATTTTTTAAAGTAAAAATATATTAAACTTGTTTAAAGAAGCTTTTTTATCTTTTTAATTTTTAAACAAGGTGAAATTAATATTATTTTTTAGTTTTATTATTTAATATTTAATAAGTTAGGAATTGTGTTTTTTAATTAAACTCGGGATTAAAATTTAACGGGTTTGAATTTAAGAGGTCAACTCGAGTTTAGAAGATTTGTTTGGATTTGATTAAGTTTTTTTTTATAAACTCATTTCTTTTCATTTTCTTTCTTCAAAATTTATTTAATTGAAGATTGACCTCCATTATCTTTTTGTATTTGTTTTTTTTTTGGATTTTTTACTGATTTTAAAAATAATCTAGGTTATCTTGCTCTGTAATATTGGATTGTTTGGTAATTAATGTTTATAGTTTTATTCAATTTACTTTAAATGTGGTTACCCTAGTATTATAATCAAGTCGTAGATTTTGCATCAGGTTTTTTGATATTTTCTGGATTTTTTCTTCAATTTTATCATTTTATAATATCAGATGGACTTTTTTGCTCGCAAGAAACATGATGATGGTTATCCCATCACCAACAATAGCACTGACGATTTGAAAGACTCTGGAAGTCCTGCTAGATTGGAGCTAAACGTCAACGTACGTGACTTGTACCGGAGTTAATGTCTTTAACGTTTTTCTTTTTGCCCCCTCTAACTGCATTTATCTTGGGTTATACAGACAGGTTTGAATCTTCTTACTACTAATACTAGCAGTGACCAGTCGATGGTAGATGATGGGATATCGTCGAACATGGAAGATAAGAGAGCTAAGAGTGAGGTAGGCCAACCCCATTAAATGATGTAAAAAATGAAACTTTATACATGGAAAGTTTTGAATTTTCTTTCCTGGGTGTATTTCTGGTGTTGAATGTTACTGTGTTGTTGACAGTTGCAGCTAGCTGTTCTCCAAGCTGAGGTAGAACGAATGAAAGTGGAGAATCTACGGTTGAAAGGCATGTTAAATCAGGTTACTAGCAATTACAATGCATTGCAGATGCATTTAGTAACACTTACGCAGGACCAAAAGTCTCATCACAAGAATGAACAACATGATGGCAAAAATAAAAATAATGGGATGGTTCCAAGGCAGTTTATGGATCTTGGTCTAGTTGCTGCTGCTGCTGGTGACACCGATGACCTTTCTCTATCTACATCAGAAGGGGGAAGGAGCCGTGATCGATCGAGATCACCTGGAAATAATGTAGAGAATAATAATGAAGATGGGACACTAATGTTTGATCAAGATAAGAAGGGATTTGCTAGGGGAGCTGATCATAGAGAGGATAGCCCAGGTCAAGGCTGGGCCTCTAATAAGGTTGCTAGACTTAACTCGGCGAAAACTATTGATCAAACGGAGGCTACAATAAGGAAGGCCCGTGTGTCTGTTCGAGCTAGATCTGAGGATGCCATGGTACAGCCGATTTGATTCAATTAGTTGCAATTTGGTTGAATTTTGATTAGATTTTGTTTAATTCAACGGAAACTTCTGGTTTGTTTAGATATCGGATGGATGTCAATGGCGGAAGTATGGACAGAAGCTGGCAAAAGGAAATCCATGTCCTCGAGCTTATTATCGGTGCACCATGGCCGCTGGTTGCCCAGTTCGAAAACAGGCATGTTTCCTGTTGTTTTCCTTAATTATATTCGGTATTATGTTGTGTTTTTATTTTTCAGAGGATTTCTGTTGCATATATAGAAGCTAGAAGAGTTTGATTAGGCAATTTTGGAAAAACACTGCCACTAAATTACAAAGGTTGTTGTTTGATCGAAGACTTTGATCAGATTATTGAATCTTGATTTTCATATCACTCAGTCATTTAACTTTTCCTGGTATATGTTAATCTGAACTGGGACGCTTGAATAGGTACAAAGATGTGCAGAAGATCGAACCATCCTCATAACTACATACGAGGGCAATCACAACCATCCTTTGCCTCCAGCTGCTATGGCAATGGCATCAACGACATCATCAGCCGCAAGAATGTTGTTGTCAGGCTCCATGTCAAGTGCTGATGGACTATTGAACTCAAATTTCCTTACCAGAAGTCTTCTCCCATGCTCCTCTAATCTAGCTACTATATCAGCTTCAGCCCCATTCCCTACAGTTACATTGGACCTAACCCAAAATCCCAACCCTCTACAGCTCCCAAAGCAACCAACTCAATTTCAATTCCCATTTCCAAACGCACCTCAAGATCCTGCCAATGCTTCAGCTACTGCATTGCTGCCTCAGATTTTTGGACAAGCACTCTACAATCAATCAAAGTTCTCTGGCCTGCAAATGTCTCAAGACATGGAACCTCATCGATTGGGGCAACAATCACAACCTGCATCCCAGCAAAATCCATTGGCTGACAGTTTGGCCGCAGCAACTGCTGTCATTGCTGCTGATCCTAACTTCACAGCAGCGCTAGCAGCAGCAATTACCTCAATAATTGGTGGTGCTCACCAAAACATTATTAATAGTACTAATAACGCTCAGACAACCAGCTTGTCTTTTTTAATTATTATTTATATTTTACATCATGTACTTTATAACATGTGTAACATTTTATATCCGTTGTATGGTGCTACCAAAACAAATCAACCAAAAAATATAGAATATTTATAGGATTGCTATTATTTTCATTTACTGACTAAAGAGCATTTATAATATTAATACTACAACTTTATCATCAAACTAGAAAAGAAATCTAAAATATGATATTTCATCAAATATCTTCAATGCAATTTTAATTCTTATGCATATATTTTCCTATAATTGAAAGAATTTCGACAAGAATTATATGTTAAACAAGAATTAAAAATAAAAAAATATTGATTATGATATAATAAACTGCAATTTAGATTGTTTCCCCCCTTCCTTTTAATTTTAAAGTTGGTGGGACAAGGTCTTTGTTTTCTTTGTTAGGTCGCTAAAGTTTTAGGATCTTTAAGGTAGCTTTTTTAGCTTAGGAAGCAACAATCATTACAATTTCTCTTGTAAATGAACTTGTTTCTATAATTTTTCTTATTATTTCACCCACTAGCATTGGTAAAGACAATCACATTTTAAATATATATATATATATATATATCTTTACACACATCACAAACAATATATTAAAGTTGTTAATAGTTTTTCTCATTAGATATTTTTTAAGGGCACCAGTCTTGATCCTTCAATTTCATAAAAGTAGAGTTATATAATACATTTAAGTAAATCTTTAAAGAAATTATTAAGATTTTTTACTAAAAATCAAATTTTGATCACAGCCAAGTTTTTAGTTAACCTTAGATATTCTTACTTGCATCTTATACTAGTTTTTGGATATTTTTTGGTATTTTTAGGGGTGAGACTTAGCCTGGTTATCACCTTATCCTCGCATGTTATTATGTACTGAAGTTTTTATAATCTATCTGTAAACTTGTCCACTTTTAAATAATTTACAAAAAGCAAAGCAAACATGTTATTATAGTGGAAGAGAAACATATATAATCAAAAACTAATTCTAAAAAGAGAAAATCCCATGCTTAATCACTAAGAAAAAGAAATACAAGTGAAAAACCACAACTCTATAATTATTTTTATAAATTTATGGACAAAAAAGAAAGGAATATATAAAATAATTAGTGCACTAACCAATTAAATTAAAAAAGTAATCAATTAAATAAAACCCTCCAAAGTTGCTCATTTGCACAAGAGAGAATTAATGCATAACCAAAACCCTAGAATTGCATAAAGATAATATATGCAAAGCCTTCACTAATCTTTAGCTAGTGTCTGAAAGAAAAGGAATTGTGTAAAAAGTTGATTAAATTGTATTTAATTTGGTGATTCGGGTTCATAAAGAGAGAGAAAATGATGTGCAAAAAAGAAAGAAATCATCCCTTGAAGACAAAATATTATATATATTGCATGATCGATTTTTTAATTTAAGCATTTTTTGTTTTATGAAAAGCAATTTTTTAAAATTATTTTTCAAATTTTCTAATATTTACTTATTATTAGAAAAATTGATCAATAAAAAAAATATTTTTCAAGTAAAAAAAAATTGGTGTAGTTTCTAGGAATTTTATATATATATATATTTTAGGTAATAAACACTTTTAAAAAATTACAAAAATTATTATCGACCCTTCATTTAGCTATTCATGTCCTTTTCTTTCCTTTTAGAATGAACATATGCTCTAATGAGATCTATGTTTTAGCCATTGATTGCGTTAAAACTTGATTTTCTTTGATATTAATGCATATGATCTCTTGATTTTAAAATGTTGATCCATTAGCTACAACACAAGTGCTATATTTAAATATGAGCTCATACTAATCATTCTAATTTCTATTACTATTATCATTATTTAATTATTTGATGTCGTTTGGCGTTACTCAGTTATAGGTTATGTTTTTTAAGCCATTTCTTGTCTAATAAAAGCTAAATTCTCTAACTTGATTAAACATTAACTATATAATTAGGTCGAGAATTGAGATTTTATGTGAATTTTACTTCTGATGACTTGTTTAAAGTTTCACAAACACATGTGAGATGGTGAAATATATAACATGCAGTTTTATTATTATCAGTAAGTTGAAAAAAAATTAAACTAGTTAATATATTTTATAATTAAATCTTACTCAAGACTAATTAACCTGTAATATGTGTCAGTGGATCCTACTCAATACTCATTCAAAGACTAAATTAGCTTGGTGCATTTATTTGTTGTTACTGTACTATTAATTTATTTAATTAAAAAAATAAAAACTAATTTGATATAAAAAAAATAAGAAGGTCAAAAAAATAAAAAATTTAGAATTATTTTAAACAAAATAAATAACAATGGGGAAAATGAAAATCAAATTTGAAAGTTTAAAAATTGAAGGGGCGAGATTGAAAAAAAATACTAATTTTATAAATTATTTTAAATATTAAATGATGAATAAAAAGAAAATCATAAATTTTAGAAAATAGCCAAACAAATTCAACAAAAAAAAAAGACCCAAGATAACCCAAATTATTTAAAAATATTAGTGAGAAATTCTACAAAAAGCAAATAAGGGCTTGTTTGTAATCATGGTAGCAGTGACGGTTTAAAGTATTTTTCATTTAAAAATACATCAAAATAAAGTTTTTTAATTGTTCTTAACTCATTATTAATATCAACATATCAAAATAATCTAAAAAATATTTTTTATTTTAAGCAAAAAATATCAAAATTTTTAAAAACACCCTCTAAATAAAAATGATGGAGCCTAGCTTTCGATTGCATAAATTCTAAATGATGAAAATTTAAAAAAAAAATAATTTTATATAAAAAAAAAAAATCAAGGAAATACGAATGGACTTTATAAACTTATGCTATTATCTAAAACTTATAATTTGTGCAATATCAAGCTTGAGATCAATTAAGAAACTTAAGTATCAATTATTTTAATATTTAAAGATAAAATTAGAAAAAAATATTAATTTAAAATTTTTATCAGAGTAAATCAAAACAATAAGAATTAAATTTATATAAAAATAAACTCAACGAGGATGAAATTATAAAAATATCAATTTAAAAAAGGTCCAAAAAAACAAATGATAATAAAAATAATAGAGATCAAATTTAAACGATAAAAATAAAAGAGAATGAAATTGATTATTTTTTTCTAAAATAAAAAAACAATAGATATAAAAAGAACATAAATCAAATTTGATAGGAAAAATAAACTCACGGAGGATGAAACTATAAAAAAAATTAAAAAAATAATTACAAACAAAACAAATAACAATTAAAAAATTGATTGAATTTGATAGATAAAAAGAAAAAAAAGATGAAATTAAAAAAGAATTATAATTTTATAAATCATTCAAAATAAAATAAATATTAATAAAAAAATAAGGATCAAATGTTAGAAAAAAAATTAAAAAGACTTATCTAAAATTTTATAAAGGTCAATATGAAATTAGAGACAAAGAAATAAAAGAGGGAAAACAAATGATTTTTTGAACCAAACTAAATGCGTGTTTGGTGCATACACTAATTTATCACAAACAAAATGTTGAGAACTGTCAAACACCATTGTAAAAATGTGGTGTTTAGTTTTCGAGGAGCCCTGCACATATCAAGAAAAAAGCACGGAGAAGAGCCATTTACTGACACGTGCTATGCTAGAGAATTTAATTAATTTTATCTTGAAAAATAATAAAATAACTTAACTATTTTAAAAATATTGAAAAGATTATATTCCTTGTAATTGAAAAGTATCGTTTTTTTTTATTTCAAGGCTAAATAATTGGTTTTTTAAGTGCCATAAAACTTGAAATGACTAATCTAGCAATTAATGATTTGTAGAAAATAATTGTATCTTGGTAAAAAAGATTATTTTACCCACTATATATAATTTAAATATCTTATATCTCGATGATAATTTTATCATTATATTACTATAATAAATAATATTTTGTGTTTTGTACGGAAAATTTCCTTGTAGTTTTAGGTTTTTGTCAGTGTTAATAAATGTTACTTGGAATCTGATGAGCTGAATAAATTATACTTATGTTAAAAAATAAAAAAGTAATTGTTTAATACTTTTACTGAAATAATCAAGTCACCACGAAGCAACCGAAGTCCAAGTAATTATAGCCTGCGCCCCTGTTGGGTCATCCTAGGAGAAGCCTAATTCATGGCAACAAAGACAAGAATTGGCCTTCACTTGTTGAATCTGGACCCTCCATAGTAAAATAACACACACGTGCGCTACATCGCGAAACTGTATTTTTATCTTAAAAAATCACATGTAGATATCGTAAGTATATTTCAAATAAAATTTTAAAAAATCAACAACTTAAGTTATATCAGCCGCGTTTAGTAAATTAATTTTATTTTAATTAGATAATAAAATAATAAACAAGGATAGGATATAAACAACTCTTTTATATAAAAAAGCACATGATATCTCAAAAAAATATACATAGAAGTAAGAAACTTTATAAAAATAGACAAAAAAATACATGGAATTAAGAAACTTAATAAAATAATAAATAAGGATAGCATATAAACAACTCTTTTATATAAAAAAAACACGTGATATGTCAAAAAAAAATACATGGAAGTAAGAAATTTAATAAAAATAGATAAAAAAAGGGGCTCGAAACAAACTAAAATAGTGTGATAAATATATAACCTAGGTAATATAGGATGAGTTAACCTGGATTAACATGTAAAATCCATGATTTAGACAACGAGATCAAAATAACTTAGAAAACAAAAATCAAAGAAAAACATTTAGACAATTTTTTTCAAAAAAAACTAACGTTGAATGATTAAATCAAAAAATAACATAAATAAATAAAATGTCAATCCATATTAACTTTCCAGACCCATAAATCAAGTTATTAGACCAGAAGCATTATACATGAAAAAAATGATGAAGCATGATCCTTAACAAATTAAATGTTGAAGAATGAAAAGGGAAATAAGTTAATCACACACAAAAATCTAAAATAAAAAATGATAATTAAAAAAATAAGAATGAAAATCAAAATAAAAAATAAATTAGAGAGAAACAAAAAAATTTTAACTGAAAGATTAAATCGAAAAGAAAGATAACTATAAAAAAAATAAATGACAAGAACAAGGACCTAATTAAAAAAATAACACACTGTAAACTTAGATTGAAGAGTAAAAGTGAAAACCAATAAAACTTTTACAAAAGAGTTAAGGAAAAAAAATCAAAAATAAAAAAAAATAAATATAAAATTGAAAATAAAAATATATAAGGACTTGAAATTGAATAATTGAATTGAAGACTTTACAAAAAAAGCCAAAGGCAAAAATAAGATATTAAAAGTAAAATATCTAAGAGAAAAATAATTGCAACAAAAATAATAAAAATATTTTAAAAATAAGAATCAAATTTTAAAAAATAACAAAATATAAAGATGGATTGAATGGTGAAACTGAAAATCAATGAAACTTTTATAAAAGAGCCAATGAACAAAAAAATAATAATTGAAAAACAGAATATATGACAACTTGGATTTGAAGGATTAAACTGAAAAGAAATTAATATTTTACCAAATGATTAAGGATAGAAATAAAAAAAAAATTAAAAGAAAAAGAACTTAAATAGAAATATCCAAAAGAAAGAAGAACGATATGCAATTTTTAGAATTAAAGAAGGGAAAATACACAAATAAAAAAAGGCTCACTAACAACAAATCACTCATTCACTGATGACACACGTCACACCGTTATAAATAGAAAATTATGGCATATCTAGATATACAAAAAAGAGGTAAGATGTATTATCAGAAGACTCCATACATACTGTTTAAGATGCCCAAGCACCTCCTACACGCTGACTCGTGCAATAAAAAT